TCCCTGGGGGCTGCCGTCAGCGCACCTGCCGCCACGTTCGTGAGCTCGTGAGAAGGCCTTCGGGGCGGTGTCTTCCGCACAGCCCGGCTGGACCCCGCAGACCCCTGGGGGGCTGCCACCTGCGCAACCCTCGGGGGAGGCAGGGGCCGAGAGTAGCTGAGGCGCACGTCGCCCGCCAACTCAAGGGCACATGAGCCGAACTGCCGGACGAAGAGAACGTACCGGACACGGGAGCCAGCAGGAGGAAGGAAGAGGAGGAGGAGGAGGAGGAGGAGGAGGAGGAGGAGGAGGAGGAGGAGGAGGAGGAGGAGGAGGAGGAGGAGGAGGAGGAGGGGGAGGAGGGATATGTGGAGCAGAGGGGGCCATTGGAGCAGGGAGGGCGACGCACGCGTCTCCTCCGCCCCTCCTCCTGGCGCTTGACTGCGCCCAGCCGCCTCGGTGACGTATTCGTGCTCCCCGCCGAACATGGGCGTCAGGATGGCCAGGGCCTCCGCCGCAGCCCACGGGCCCCGCTGATGACCGACGCGCCAAACGCTCGCCTTGAGCGCACATGTGTGCCCAAGCCCATCCCCTGCGGCTCGTGGTTCATTTTAGCTGAAAACTATGAACAGCAATTCAACCACACCATCAGGAAAGCTTAGCAAATAACCTAGCCCCGCTTATGGTGTACAACATGCTCTTCGGCATGCCGATTCAGTTGTCATCGTCACTGTGCCCCCTTTATACGTGCGTGCCCCACGTCGTTTGTGGATTGGTGGCGTGCACCATGAGAGGAACTCGCCGTCTGACAGCGCGGCAATTCAGCTTAAACTGCAAATCCCACCAGCCCTCTGGGCGTAGGTGGTCTAGAGCAGATCCTCTTCCACCCCTCCCTCTTCCCCCTTGGGGAGGGGTTTACCCCTCCCCCTACCCCCTCCCCTGGACCTGGACGGGGGGGGCCGCGGGTAGTTAGAGCGTCCCAGATGGACCAAGACGGCTCCAAGAGCGCCTCAGAGAACCCAAGATGAGCTCCAAGATGGCTCAAGATAGCGCAAGATCGCTCGAGATGGCTCCTAAGATGGTTCCAAGAAGCCCAAAGACGGCCCCAAGATAACTCCAAGTGGCCAAACAGCTCCCCAAGGAGGCCCCGAAGAGGCCAAAATCGTCCCAAAACCTAAGTAAAATCAATGATTTTTGCTTTCTCGCCTTTTCGCTTCCGATGGCCATCCGAGGCCTGGAGATGGTTCCAAGATGGCCCAAGAGGGCCCCAAGAGAGCCCCAAAAGAGCCCCAAGACGGCCCCAAGAGCGCCCAAGAGCACTCCAAGAGCGTTCCAAGAGGGGTCCAAAAGGCGATTTTAGGGGCTTCCGAGGGGGGGCGCTAATTAAACCCCCCCTCTTGTTTGATCGATCTCCTCCAAGATGGCCCCAAGAAGCGCCCAGGAAGCCCCAAGAGGTCCCAAGATGGCCCCAAAATGGCCCCAAGAGTCCCCCAAGAGGCCCCCCGGAGGCCCCCAAGAGACCCCCAAGAGGCCCCAAGAGCCCCCCCAGATGCACCCAAGATGCTCCAAGAGGCCTCGGCGAGAATGCCTAATCATTGATTCTACACAGGTTTTAGCCACATGGAGGCCTCTTGGGGGGGGGCACGGATTAAGATGACTCCAAGAGCGTCTGGGAGAGCCCAAAATGACCTCCAAGATGGCTCAAGATATCCCAAGATGTCTCATAATGGCTTCCTCTGTGTGCTGCCCACTTCTCTGATCGAGGCAATTCCTCTGGGCATCGTTTCTGGATGGGCTGGTGGGGATTCGCGAAGCGACAACAATTTCAAGCCAAGCCATTTCCAAACGCTGCTGCGCATGATGACAGCATGGCAGTGCCGCAAGAATGCGCGCGGGGTGTTCGTGCCGGTGCGCCGCAGACATGTCGCATCTGCACATTGCGCCCACCTGTGCCCCAAACGAGCCCAGCCCCGCGGGAGCCTAGCGCGACCCCTAGCGCGACTCCTGCCGATGTAGATCTCGGCCCACACCCGAAAAGGAGATCGTGCACTCCACCGACCCAGCACTCGAGCGTTATCCCCAATCTGAATGTTTGCCAGCGTGAGCCCCAAACAATGTTCCCGAAAGAGGTGCTTGCACTTCGGGGTTATTACTTGCCTTAAACATCTCGGGACCCTCCCCGCAAAATCGCCGCGTCGCCGCCCGTCGCCGCCCGTCGCCGTCGCCGCCCGTCGCCGCCCGTCGCCGTCACCGCCCGTCGCCGCCCGTGGCACCCGGCGCCCGTCGCCGCCCGTCGCCGTCGCCTCGGGACCATCGCCGCAAAATCGCCGCCGTGCCGCGCGTCGCCGCTCGTCGCCGCCCGTGGCCGTCGCCGCCCGTCGCCGCCAGTCGCCGCCCGTCGCCGCCCGCGATGGGTTCAGATCACAACCAGTCGCGTGAGATCCCACCGGACGGTTCAGATCCCAACCGTCTAAAACACCGGGCACGGCCAGATCCCAACCGAGGAGGAAGCGAATGAAGA